GTATAGGCAGTCACTGTTGGTCTTTTATTTTCTCTGTGTAGTTAGGGGCATAGGCGTCTTAGTAAAGCCAGTACAGTAACTTCAGATTTACTTATTCGTTTAACAAATACTGATTGTGTACCTACTATGTGCCGGGCTGCTCTAGGCCCAAAGAAATAGAAAAAGATCCCTGCCCTTTCGGAACTTATATTCTAGTGAGGGATACAGATAATAACCACTATAAATAAATAAGTAAATTACCTCTATAGTTTGCTATGAAAAAAAGTATTTAACAAGTGCCAGGACTGGGGTAAACACATTACCCCAGTATAATCCTTTATATAATCCTTACAAGACTCTTCTGAGATAAGTATTAGCAAGATTAAATCACTTACCCCAAAGTATTAACAGAATAAATGAGAAGGGGAAGAATTTAAAGTAACCACAATGAAGGATGTCAGAGACCCAATTAGCAACAAACAAACAAACAAAACAGTTGGCACAGTATCGGTCAGGTTCCTAGTTGCCAGCAATTGAAAACCTCACAGGCTGATTAAACGGTATTGAATCCTTCTAAGTTTCTCTTAGCATTGCCAAGAAGGGTGGAAAATGAGCTCGGGCAAACTCGCAGAGATAAAGGGGTGACTATACAGATGGAATCACAATTCCAAACCAATCATATCCCAGAACCAGTCCTATGAAGACAAGGGTTCCTCATTCCTGAAAACCACGGCTATGGCTGCCACTGGATGCTGCTGTTGAAACCGCTGGCCAAGAAACTAGATAATGTTGGCTACCACTGTCACTTAAAAATATTTCCTTGCTTCTTGGTGGGTTAACATTAGATTAGAATTTAGGTGGTTGAATTTGTTGGGCTAAGCCTGAGCTGTAGTACTAGACTTTAAGAAGGAGCTGGGAAAATGAGAATCTGGGTTTTCAGCTCCTAAAGGTAGGATACAGGGAGGGATATACTTCACATTAAGACTCTTTAAAAAAGGGGTTCAAATGCTGGGCCACCAAAAAGATGATACATAGATATTATGCTAGAACACATACTAGAATCTCCATTGATTAGAAATAGTATCTTGACTAGGGCTCAGAGCAAAATCCAGTACTATAAAGTTAAAAGGTTATATACAAATTGCTTAAACTGCACAAAAACTAAATAAAGTGGTTTCTCTCTTAACATTCAACTTGTAGTGATTAAACTGCTTAAATTAACAAGAGGCCCCAAAGATAGATTTTATAGAATACAGCTGCTAGAACCACTTTATAGTATATTTTACCAGATCTTTTTAAATTTTAATTATTTTGAACAGAGTACCATGAGATACCAAGCTTTAAATTTACAGTGCAATTTATAAAGAATTACTCTTTACATATGCACCAGTGGCAACTGATGGAAAAAATATAAACAGGTCTTTGGCTCCTCCTAAAATCACAGAACAAAAAGAACAAGCTGAGCAAAACCTCCTGAAAATAAAAGGTTATTACATTAATTAGAAAAACTTTGATAATACTACAACCTTGTTTTGAAATGCATTAAAAGTTCAATAACAATTAGGCATGCAAATGAAATTACTCTAGAATTACAGAGGATTTCTATCCATATAAAGTGTAATAAGTGAAGGAAGACCCTATCGACCAAGTAAGTGTTGAAAGTTTATCTTTTGTTGATTCAAAGAAATTTGAGAACAAAACTATAAGATTTATTTTCCAGTCCTTGTCACATTTCTTACTGTTGTTATAATAAGGTAAAAGCACTTTATAAACTATAATGCAGAACACAAACAATCATTATTATAAACTACTTATCAATTTATAGTATAGTTTTTTTTTCCCCAGGGAGTGGTAATGAGTAAACTTCCTAAAGTGGGAGTCTAGGTGGATGAGTTAAAAGAACAGAAGTTCATACAAAGTTCTTCTTTGAGTTTGGTTATTAACAAATGTAGTGGGAAAAGGTGATCCATTTGAAGCTCACAGTATGAGAAAGATCACCCAAGAAGAAATTTTAAAATATGCTCAAAATTAGAGGCAGAATTTTCACTTTACTCAAGTAGACTATGCTAAAAAAGGCATATACTGGGGCAAAAGTAAGTCATAAACTGAAATGAGAGAAAGCCAGGTCTGCTTTATTTTTAAAATTATTGCTACTTATTGATTTGAGAGAGAGGAAGGGAGTGAGAGGCAAAGGGTGAGAGAGAAGGTAAGAGAGGGAAACATCAATTTGTTGTCCCACCCATCCACACATTCATTGGTTGCTTCCCGTACATGTGCCCTGACCTGGGATCAAACCCGCACCCTTGGTTTACTGGGACCATGCTCCAACCAACTGAGCTGCCAAGCCAGGGCCTGGTAGCTTTTTAACTCTAAAGTTAAACAGTAAGCAACTTTCACAACCCAACAGGGCTAATTACATAATTTCCAAAGTGCAAAATCTGACAATGTTGCATTAAAATACATTTTTTAACCAGAAAATACTCATAATACATTGCAGAACACAAGCACCTGTATACCTCTTTGAGAACTGAACACTATATTCAGGGAAATAAATTAAAAACATTAATCCATAATTTTTTTTGCATTAAGTTCACTCTGCCAAAATGCTTACTATTAGTCACAATACAATTAGTTAAATACAAATGAGTAGATTTGCATGCTTCACATCTTCTCACTTGGTCGTTTTTCTATCATTACATTTACTATGTGTAAGCCTTCCCTCCCCACTCTTTCCTGCACAGAAGTGTTGGGACACAAACTAGTGACAATTAATGTCCTTCACTGTTACCATAGAACCCAGGTCACTGGATGGGTGGGGGGTGGTCTAGCCCCAGCTCTGCCGGTATCTTATGTAAACTCTTTTCCTGGATTTTAAGTGATTGAACTAAGTGGGTTCTGGAGACATCCCCTCATCCCCACCCAATCAATATACATTGATTCTTAGTGTACATGCTTTTTCAAAGACTTTCTTTTTCACTTACTCTTCCACTTTCTCACCAAATATATTTTCCTTCATCTTGTGTACTGGGTATTGGAGATATAAAAATGAATGGATGCCACACTCTCTGGATACAACAGTCCAAGGTGGGGAAAGGTTAATAATCACAGTACTGTAGCAAGTGCTACAAGTGATGTCTGAAAAGGTGCTAACATAGACAGAGGAGAAAACGTGTAGGAGACTGGAGGACAGTACAGTTTGGTTGGGGTGGTAGTGGTGAGTGGGAAGGCACAAAGCAAGGGATTTCTAGGCAGAGAAACTGGTATGCAAAATCTTCAAAGGAAAAAGGAAGAAAACGCTTTTGGGAGAATGGAAGGCCACATATGTTACATAAAGAACTTACAAATTAGCCCTGGCTGGTGTTGCTCAGTGGACTGAGTGCCGGCCTGTGAACCAAAGTGTGGTCAGTTTGATTCCCGGTCAGGGCACATGCCTGGGTTGCAGGCCAGGTCCCCAGAGGTAGGTGCTCAAAAGACAACAACTGGTGTGTCTCTCCCTTTCTCCCTCCCTTCCCCTCTTTCTAAAAATAAATAACTAAAATCTTAAAAAATATAACATAAAAAATGTTTAAAAAAAAAACTTAGAACACAATGTCCTTGGGCAAGGAAATGATTAGAAAGATCACTCTGGGTGCACCGTGAAGGGAAGAATGGGGTATGGAACTGGGAGACAAGAAATAAGAAGGTAGAAAGACCAGTTAGAAGGCTATTATCATTGTCTTCCCTCTCTCTAAAAATAAATAAAATCACTTAAAATCATAAATACAACGGATCAGTAAAAACCTGTAAAAACTTAATCGATATACACACTGTACTTGAGAACATCTTAAATACAAAGGAATTTTTGCACGATGCCTCCCCTCACATCTTGAGCTTCTGATCACCCTCCACTAGGCTCTGCTGGGCCCATACAACCAACTGGTGGACATTCTCCTCAGGCTCTAGACACGCTGACCTTTCCTCCATTCTCCAAACACATTAAACACTTTGCCATCTCAAGGCTTGCTGTCTCCTTTGCCTGAAAACTCTTGCCTTAGAGTTTGCATATGGCTGGCTTGTTCTTCAAAGCTGTTTTTCAGAGAGTACTACCTTGATCAATCTACTGAAGTCCTACGCCTGCATTATTCTGTCATAGTACTCTATTTTTTTCCTTCACAGTACTCAATCCAATCTGTAACCACTTTATTTGCACACATTTTATTGGCTGCCTCTTCCACTAGAATGTGTGCACCACAGTGGCAAACATGTCTGGCTTGTTGGCCTCTGTGTCTTCAGCTCTTAGAACAATTGCTGATAAATAACATGTGTTTAATAAATACTTGTCAAATTACCCATATAACCCAATTTCTCTCTGAATCACCTCTCTCAACTGGCATCATCCACTCCTTAAACCCAAGTCCTTTTCTCATTGTACGGACTTATGTAACCAAAAGAGCTAACATTTATTGCACTTTTATTAGATACCAGGCTTGATGCTAAAGATCTATTTACACCATTCCGAGTAATCTACACAATAATCCACTCGTGCGGATTAAGTGCTTTTAAAATTATCGCCATTGCACAGGTAGGAGGAAACCGAGGTTGTAGAGCCTAGCCAAGTTCACACAGATGGTGGAGCTGAGATCGGAATCTACTTCAAACTTCAAAAACAAAACAAAGCCAGTCCACTGCTCACTTCTCGTGAGAACATATGCTCTAGTTTGCGAAGTCCTGAGTTAGCCTTTCTTATGTTTTGAGATTACACCGGCTCTACCCAGGGAACATCCTAATCCATTCATTTTCACTCCCTCTTCCCACTTGCTTTCTGATGGTGGGAGGCGAGGGCGGGGAGCAGTGGAAGGCTGTCCTGCACTGCGAGTTCCCGGCTTCTCCCAAGGAAGATGCACGTGGGAAGATGAAGAGTCCCAAACGTTACCATCTTATTTCTTAGCATTGAGGAAAATGTAACCGGGGCTTGACCAACCACTGCCTGATTTTGGAGCAGAATCCAATTCCCGCACCGCATTAGAGGCAAAAGCGCTTACCTTAACTGCCACCTCCGGAGCCGAGTCCACCGCCACTGGCAGAGAGGGCTTGTCAGAAGGCGATTTAGTCAAGTGCATGAGGGAGTCAGAGGTTGGCAGCGGACACCGTCCGCCCTCACTGTCCGAGTCAGACTCGGACCCCGAACCCGAACCATAGGAAGCAGCCAGAGAAGCAATCGCAGCCGACATGACTGCAACACAACAGTGAAGACCAGGCCCCGGCGGAAGTAGAAGCGGCTCCCAGGTCCTAACAGATTGCCATGACACACAATATTTACTTCCTTTGCTAAGACATAATTTATGACACTGTAAATAAGTGAATTAGTATTAAAGTAAGTACAACATAACTGAAAACTTGGAAGCATTTATCTTGGAAAACAGAGAGAATTGTAATAAATTATAAGTTTTAGGACCTTTCTGGCCAGTTTAAAGACTACGAATTCATACATACCTTGCGGCCTCGGGATTCTGCACTCCCGGCGTGCAACGCGGCGAGATGTGAGAGGCACATGGGAAATGTAGTTTGAAGAGTGGGGGCGGAATCGGACGGGCAAGCATCTCTTTAACTCCGCCCCTCAATGGAGATTCATTCAATTGGCTATCACTTTCCCTCATTCCCTGGCCAAGCACTGTTCTCTCCGTCCCCCTCCCCCAAACTGAGGATTGGGCAATACCATAAAAACCTCAGGATGGGGGGGGGGAGATTGATATTCATCCCCACTGATGGGTGAGTGGGCGGAGGCTGAGTTTCCCACCACAGCTGCACCTAGGCACTGGAGGCTGAAGAGGCTAAACGAGTCTTAAATTGGAAGACTCTGACTGTTAGGGAATAGCTTGTAGGAAGGATGAGAGATTAGGGGAGAGAGTCCAGCGGTCCCCCCTGCTTTAGGCGCGGGTCCCTGCGCCCGGTTGTGGAGCTGTGCTTGCGGGGTGGGGGCGGCTAGGGGGCGGCGGCGGCTGCTCTTCGTGTTGTTCGCTCGTGCGTCGATCACACTGTGGGTCCGGCGATCGGTGGGCGCCGTAGGCAGCGTTCCCCGTGGCCCGGTGCGTTGGTTGCTGCTCCGAGCGGGTTCCACCAGGGAGCCTGACTTTCCTGGAGGCTCTAGGGGGAGTCCCAGGAGCTGAAGAACACCAGCGGCTGCCGCCGAAGCATGAAGAAGGGGTAAAGTAAGAGCCCCCCAAGATTTCTCGGTGAGCCCGAGTCTCTCAGGAATTGTTGTTGGGGTTTTTTGTTTTGTTTTTGGAGGCTGGAGGGTGCTGGGGAGGAACTCTTCCACACCGGCCACAAAAGAGAGGTATGTGCGGAGCTCCAGCCCGGCAAAGGTTACGGGGATGGGCGCGCCTCCCCCGCAACGGCCCCCACCCCCAATCGGGGGTTCCTGATCTGCCGCCCACCCGCTAGCCCGGCTAGGCGCAGCTGGAGGGGCCGGCGGGCCGGCGAGTCGGGGTTTCGGTGTCAGGGACCGGCCGGAGGTTGCTCTGGGCGGGGAGACTGCAGGTCTCACCTGAGGTACCACCGCCTGTGCGACCCTGCCTTGCACCCACGGGTTGCCCCCGAGCCTCCCGGCTCTGGGGGAGGCTGCAGCACCCGCTGGCGGAGAAGACTGTGCTCGCGCTACGTGCCCGGGGCTCTGTGAAGGAGGAGGCTTATGCGTTTGCGTGTTTGCACCGCGCGTCTCTGTCTAAAGACCCAACGGTAAAGCAAGTGCTGGGATCCCTTTCTTCGCTCGAAGAGCGAGGCGAAGCGGGGCGGTCGCCTCCAATGCCTGTTAACAAGGGTTGCCTCGAGGAGAGTTAGGGGGCCGCTTACTGGGCACCGATGTCGGCAGGACTCGCCCATTGTGCCACCCAGATAATTATTCAACTATGCAGCATCCATTGCACCTTTCCCATTTTTCTTTTCCCCTTGCTACAGCATGCCCCCTAGCTTCGGTACTCTGACGCCTTCTCTTGCACTTGCGAATGATGAACTGGAATAATGATGAAAAGAAAGCACATCTGACCTGAACATTTACAATCTGTCCTATGGCCGATTAATTAACTAATCCCCAACTAGACCGGATACTTTAATACGACTGGGTCTAATCCTATCCTTGGATTATATTTTAATTTTTTATTTGGTGTTAGATTCACTTAGCTAAGTTTTATTTCTGTCCACTAATGTAATTGACATTGGTTAATCAACTCGTCTTAATGTCTTTAATTTGTATGGTAGGTAGGTAACTTTAATTTTTCTAATTGTTGGTAGTACTAGTATATTGTAATTACAAATGCAGTTTCAGTCTTTGAACTCTCAGGAGTAGTTTTTCTCATGCTCTAAGTTAGGAAAAGTATATTTGTGTCGAATATTTGAATGAAGTACATGACATACAATCTCTCAAGTTTTCAGTAAGAAAAGTTTTGTATATATTTTCTAGTAACAGTATTTAATTGCTCATTATAGCCTTCAGTTATGAAAGGAAGGAAGCATTTAATATTTAAGATGGAGTTTAAACTACCATTATGATCATTTCCTAATTTATCTAAATTTTATTTTTTATTCAGCTCCTTTTTTTGGAGTATCATGTATTGGATTACTTATTATATAATTTTTCTCATTTCTTTAACTTCTGTCTGCAAGGATGAGTACGCTCCAGTTTACATGATCTATCTAAAAGGTGCATTATTTTTGAAAACAAGAAACAACTGTTGGTTACTTGCTATTATGTTAAAAACTGTTTACATCTTATTAATTTAAAATAAATGATTCACTACCAAAAGTGTTTTCTTTTTGTTTTGGTAGTCCTCCTTTCTAGCTTTTCTTGTTTAAGCTCGTTGCCACAACCCTTTTGATAAAATGGAATTGCACATAGGCATTGCAGAGGCAGTAGCTTTAAGATACAGTAATTGTTTTATGGCACTTGGAAGTGGCGCACATATAATATAATTAATTTGATGGAGTAGGGTCAGTTGCTTGTTTAGGAAATGACCTTGCAATTTACAAAATGGACACCTTTGTGCCTTGGTTTCCTTATATTTAAATGGTGATAAAATACCCACTTACTCCACTAAGTAGAATGCATAAATTTGGTAAAGATGTTTTTATGCTTTTAAAGATTTTCTAGATGTTTTAGCTGATGAATGACGAAATATTTCAGTGTAAAAATACCATGGAAAAATGGCCTTTTAGAATGGCCGATTTACACTGAGTTTTACTTTGAAACAGTATGGCCCCAAATTCGGGAATGTTTCTCATCCATCAAGAATTTTAATAATTTAATAGGTATTATGGTTAATATCTGTCTGTAATATCTAAATATAGGTATAGTTAATATTGATGGGAAAAGTTATAGGACTTGGTAATAAGTAGAATATTGATTTAAGTTTGTGAATAATAAAATCTCCAGAAAACATTAAAGCCTTTTTAATTAAAAAAAACTTTTAGCTGACAAATCCAAAATACATAGTTATGATCATTTGTAAGATATGATATGGAGCTACTTTATTATTCAAGTTTGTATGTATATTCAGAGGCAATGTGTGACTATTGCATAATACTATATTTATTTTGCTTTATCTTCTGAATAGTCTAAGGTACCATTTCCAAATGCTTGATTTTCATCATCACAGTAGATAATAGCTTTTGATTTCCTTATTGGAGGATTAACTCAGTTAATTTTCATAGCAAAACTACTTATACTAAAACTTCTACCAAAACAGTGCTTTTGATTACTTTGTGAGGATACCTAACATAGGTAAGACTATTCAGTGCCTTTAAAATTACTATTGTTTGGGGGTTTTTTTTTGAGAATTAATTTGATTACATTTTCTTAAATAAACTGAAATTCAGCTGTCATTATCACTTGGGTACATAGAGTTCACTTGAGGGTTTTTGTTTGTTTGCTTGTTTGGTTTTTTTTTAGGCTTCTTGAGGACAGCAACTGACTTGATGCTTACTATCATAAATCCAAATTTATTAGCACAGAGTATAGCAAGTAGTAGGGGCTCAGTTTTGTTATTGCTGGACAAATAAAATGAACCAGTGAAAAATGTCTATTCAATGTACTGAGTAGAAATTGTAAAAAGTAGATTTATCAGACATTTTAATTCATGAAACATACAGCTTTATCTCAAGAGAAAAATGTTTGGGGGTTCTTTGAATTTCATTTATCTGTTCAGATGTGTAATTCCTTTACATATTTGGAACTAGCCCCAATATATACATTATCAACCCTTTATTTATGAAATGATGATAATTTTCTTCTTGCTGCTTTATGAAAATGTACATTTTGTTTTCCTAAATGAGTATAAACATGTGTTTCATTCTTTTTGACTTTCATTTTCCAGTGAAATATTAATAAAAAGATGTATGTAAATTATATCATAGTCTAAATGTACCAAAATACCTAACTTTAAAAATAACTGAGGTAAAGCTTTGTATGAAATGAAGCTTTTTCTAAAATGTGTTTTCAGTTTATCAAATTCAGTTTATAATTTTGAGTCTCTGTTTATTGACAGTTGCTAACATAGAATGGGATTGATTATACTTTGAAATTTATAAAATGGTTCAGAACTTGCAACTTTCTCATAAACAAGAAGCTTGGTGGTGGCATTCACGAACAGCCCAAGTTAACCTATGATATACTGTAATTAGGGAATTTAGCTAATAATAATATTAGAGAATTTAAAGCTTATATTAATAATTAGTGTAAATATAACATTGAAAATATCTGTAATACTGGTAAAACAATATTTCTATGGGAGAATCAATTCAGAATCTATCTTGAAATGCTCAGAATATGTTTCTCTTATGTTAGACATGACGGCGTTGTTAGTTAGGAACTTGGCCTGTGACACCCACTGGGCATGGAGAAGAGGGGGATCTTCTTCAGTTAGTGGCGCAGCCTTATATTTTCTGGGGCGGTGGTCAGAGAATGAGAGAAACTGGAAGGAGCTAGGATCTTCTGTGTAATGTTGGACAAGTCATTTTACCAGAGGCATGGCCTCTGGTTTTCTGAGTTGTAAAATGAGGGCGTTGAAGTAGATGACCTCTGTGGTTCTTTCCAGTTACAAGTAAAATTTCAAAGGCATTTAGAAGCTCAGTGTAACTTGCCCCCCCCCCCGTCCCCCCATTTTTTCCTGAGGGTTCATTTTTTCCTTTCTCATATTACTGCCCATTTTTGTCAGGGAATTTCTCCTTTTTGGATCTACCTCTGAAAAGATGGTAGTCTTTATCTTTTTTCAAATGCTTAGT